CGCTCTTACACCCGATACGTTGTAAAATAATGCTTTCTCCCCTTAAGCATCCAGCAATCTAGCTGTCACACCTACACCGAAAAATGATTAAAATAAATCAATAATTTTGAGAAATGTTGCTAATATAGTAAGAATTCTTACTATGACAAAAAAAATTGCTATTAAAAGTGTATTGTAACATTGTGGTCGTCCCCAAACAGTTTTTCACTGTAGCGGTCTAACTATTTATTTGTTTTAAGCATTTTTCAGTGTGACAGCTAAATGTTCGAAGAAAGAAAGCATAATTTTATAACAGTTCGGATGTAATTATCCATATATATTATAGTTTTTCCAGTTATAGCGAATTTACTTTTGGAACTAGTTTACTGAGAAGTTTTAGCGTCAATTGCTGCCTTATGAGGATTCACTCATAATCACCAATTCGTCACTTCGTCATAAGGAATGGAGAACTAAAATTGTAATTACAGCACTAAATTAGAATGAAATTTTCATGTGAATCGTGAATAGTGTGCTAGCCTGACAGACATAAAATGTATAATTAATGGTATAAGGTTTTACTTGTTGAAACTCCATAATCAGTTAAAGTAAACGAAAGTAAAGTTTCAAAAATATATTAATTGATAGTTCACAACAATTGTTTCACCAAAACATTGGCTTCTTCAGGTGCAGATATTCTGATTAAAATTGTTACAAAATTAACTTAAATATAAAGAGTTTACAAATTTTATGGGATGGGAACAACGAGACGGAGGGCTTAGGTAAGAATTTTTTAAGTTTCTGAAGGCAAATTTAAATTTAATAATGAAGAACTATTTACATCAGTCTGATCATTTAGTAAAATACTCAATTTATTGCATTTATTAATATAAAGACTTTTGGCTAGGTTCAATTTATATCTCTTTGGCAATTCTTTTAAAAATTGAAAATTATGATTAAATGTGCCTATCTCCTTTAATAAATGTTCTGCATATGTAGAATCAGCTTTCCCATTAGTGTAACTCCTGCTACGTTCTGTAATCCTTTTATTGAAGGATCTCCCAGTTTGTCCAACATAGACTTGATTACAGTCCCCACATTCCAATAAATAAATTCCTGATTTTTATCCTTTATCAATTTTATTTTTATTAGGTTTTTTAAGCTAGTTGGTCACATTTACGAAACAGGAAATGTTCTAGAGGATTATAAACGGAACGTGATGATAACCATACCTAAAAAGAGAGGCGCGGATAGGTGCGAGACATTTAGAACAATTAGCTTAATTTTCCATGCGTCAAAAATCTTAACTAGAATTGTACAGGGTAGGATGAAAAAAAGGGCGGTTCTTCCGGGGACGGAAGAACNAAATTATCACATTAAAAGTGTGTTTTTCCTTTAATAAATATTCTGCATATGCAGAATCTGCTTTTCAATTAATATAGTTCCTCCTGTGTTGTAATCCTTTGTTTGAAGGATCTCCTAGTTTGTCCAACATAGACTTGATTACAGTCCCCATATTCTAATAAGTAAACTCCTGATTTTGATCCTTTATTAGTTTTATCTTTATTGTTTTATAAATTCGCTTAGCGTATTACTGGTTTTAAAGAAAGTAACTATATTTTTGCAGTTCATGCTTTATTTTTAAGGAAATGTCATCTAAATATGTAATGGAACTATACTTATTGGATATACATTTGATAATCGGGTAAATTGAATTTAAAATTTTATTGTGGAGTTTTTTGTTTAAGAAAGACAGTATTAATCTAGCTGAGTAACCATTATTTCTAGCTATCGAAAGTATTCTATTTAATTCTATTTGATAATTAATTTTGTTTAACGGAAGGTATATTAGTCAGTGTAACATAGAATGAAAAGCTGCTCATTTGTGATTAAAGGGATGGAATGATTTGGCGTGTATAACCATGTCGATATGTGTGGGCTTGTGGAATATTGAAAATTCATGTATATTGTTATTATTAGTAACCGTTAAGTCGAGAAAATTAATTGTTGTATTTATTTTTACTTCTTTGGTAAATTTAATATAGGGATGTAATTTATTAATAAAATTAAAAAGGTTATTTAGTTGACGATCTGAACCTTTAAAACAAATCAATATGTCATCGACATAACGATACCAATAGAAACAATTTTTAAAAAGTTGATTTTTTGAGATTTTATTTTCTAAATCGTCCATGAAGAATTCCGCAAGTAGAGGACTCAAAGAGTTACCCATTGCTAAACCTTGCTTCTGGTCAAAGAATTCGGTATTAAAGTGTGGATAATTTTGTTAAAGAGAGAGTTAAAGTAAGGAGTTTGATGATATCTTGTAGTAGGACAAACTTGACATTATTTTTATGTAAATGTCTGTTTACTATTTCTATTGCTTCGGTAGGGGGTATACTCGTAAACAAATTGGAAACATCGAAAGATACGAATTTACTATTAGTGGGTAAAGTTAATTTGAAAATCTTGTTTACCAAATCAAATGAGTTCTTCAGAGAATAAGTAGCTTTAAAATTTGTCAGTTTTATAATTTCTTTTACCANTATGTCATCAACATAACAATACCAATAGAAACAATTTTTAAATAATTGATTTTTTGAGATTTTATTTTCTAAATCGTCCATGAAGAATTCTGCAAGTAGAGGACTTAAAGGGTTACCCATTGCTAAACCCTTTTTCTGTTCAAAAAATTCGTTAGTAAATTGTAGATAATTTTGTCCAAGGGTTAAAATAAGGAATTTGATGATATCTGAACAAAGTTGACATTATTTTTATGTAAATATTTAGTTCGGTAGGGGGTAAACTCGTAAACAAAATCAAAGATATGAATTTACTTTCGCAGGGCAAGGTTAATTTGGAAATCTTGTTTACCAAATCAAATGAATGAGTAGCTTTAAAATTTGGTTTTATAATTTCTTTTACCAAGAATTTTAAATTTACAAGGAGGTTGTGTGTATGAAACTACAGGTCTAATGGGTAAACCGTCCTTATGTAGTTTGATTAAACCATATAGTTTTAAGGCTTAAGGGTTCAAAACTGTAAGAGAATAATTGTTAGCGAAACCAGTTTGATTTAAAATTAATTTTGTAACAATTTTAATCAGAATATCTTCACCTGAAGAAGCTAATGTCTTGGTAAAATTGTTGTGAACTATTAATATATATATTTATGAAACTTTACTTTCGTTTCCTTTAATTATAAAACGTATACCTACACGGAGAAAATTTTTTTACAATTTCTGGTCCAAATTGTAATTCTTATTATTTTCACTTACGAACGAGCAACGCGCTAATGGGGTAAATTGTAAATATCGCTTTAATATTTAGGAAAATTTACGTTTATCATTTTCTCCGTGTAGAGTACGTAAAAAAGTTGATAATCATATCCGATAAAGCATATAAAAAAAATTTAGGATTAGCTGGAGAAAGCACGTCTGATAAAGTTGAAAGCCAAATTTGTACCATTAAAATGCAGTTATTTACTGAAATGCGTCTAAAAGACCCTTTAAAATAATTTACATATGAATTAGGGCTGTCGCCTCAAAATGTCACAAAGTCGGGAGATACGATAGACCTTTGCCATCGGAACACTTAAATTATTTCTCTTTTCAATCCAAAACTTATTAATATAATTAAAAAAATCTCTCAACAAACGCATTACTTACAAGGTGTTAACAATATTTTACTATCTTCACTAATTTACTCGACTGAAAAGAGACGAATATCAATCAATTTTTTACGAAAATCGGAAGTTTAAAATTAAAATCGAGAGTCGAGAGAAGTACGATTTCGAGAGTGCGGAAGTCTCCCGAACAAATATGAATTCCGGTTGAAAAATCTTAATCGTAACTTGTAACATGTATTTGAAAAACACCGATAAACAGCACCTACCTTTTATGTATGATAATTCCTTAGAACCTTGGATTCAGTCACTTATTTTTTAGTCTTTCAAAACTTAAAACTCACATAAACGTAGACACCAACTAATTCCAATAACCACAATTTCGTTTTCAATACGGACTGAACCGTTCCGTACACAACAATCCTGATACGAACGCGCATACGCAAATCATTATAGTTCAAGGATAACGCAAGGACGTGAATACTTGCTGATACGGCTGCTTCTTGTCTACAAACTACGAAAGTGAAATTAACTTGGGCATTTTTGTCGCTAACTCTAAATGTTAAATTTATTATTCCACTAAAACAGGTCTGTCTGTAACTTAAATTAAAGGTAGATAGTAATTTTCTTTAATCTTTACGATTATGGTATATTCGATGTCATTTGTCCATTAATTCAGTTTATTACATTACGTAAAAATAAAAACATTATGAAAGTATGTAGTTCAGAATAAACTCAAAATTTTCAGTAAGAAAAAAAATTAATTTAATCGTTCTTGGGTAATGTTTTAATTATAAGTATTATTTTTAATATGAAATCCACGAAACAATTTTTATTGAACATCCGATCGATAGAATAAAATACATGCAAGTGTTTACAAATTTAACAAAGGTTGCTTTTTAAATCATATATGTATAAAAAATATATTATTTTAAGGTTGATATATTCATTTTTTTGCTATGAAAATATTTTATTCGTTCGTCTTCATGTACCTACCGACTCGCCGATTTTAGCCTAAATACGAGTTTAAATGGTAAAAACAAAATTAATTAACAAATGCCTGCGATGTATACTTGAAAAAGTAATAGAAAAACTACAAATAAAAAAGTAAAAAATTTAACACTTACCTTCCCATACAAATGTTTCAGATGAGTGGATCATAAAACGAATTAAAAAGTTATTAACTTGTTTAACAAGCAAGATGTTACCTTAATTAGCAAACAAGTTGTAAACTTACTTATTGAACCAATTGTAAACTTACTGAACAAGTAAGTTATCACCTTGCAAGTTTGCTAACTACAAGTTTAAACCAACCCAACCTATCCTAACCCGGATCTAATATAATAAAAATATTTTTTGAAATCTTTTATCTAGAACTTTAATTCTATTATTTTGCCTATTTACCATTATTTACAAAAAATCACTCTAAAAAATTGTTTTGTACAATGTTAAAATAAGTTAAATTAGTTTCTTCTTCGACATACGGTTTCTCACCTTTTCCCCCTGCGCTTCACCCTTCCACCACTCCTAAAATCACTTTTCAGTGCTATTCAAGGTAAAGATAATTAACTTGCCTGTAAAGCAAGGTAATATAGCAACCATTTTTTAAAATATTCTATTAAATTACGTCATTATAAATATGTACTTATATGTTAAAACAATTATAAAAAATAAAGCAAAAATGGATATTTCAATGAGTTAAACTATTCATATTATTTATTATTGCTTCTAATTTGTGCATGATTATTTTCTGTTCTTTCCTAATTTCTTCAATTTGCTGCTTTTGTTGAGTGATAATTTCATTCTGCTTCTGTTCAATAGACGATTCTCTTCGTTGTTTTTCTATTTCCAACTTCTTTTCTCTGATAAGGTTTCTTGTTCTTTTAACCGTCTTGCGATCTAAATAAATATATCTGCAATCGTTAATACAAGTTGTGTCCATCGAATCGTCGTCAATGAAATTTTCGTTGGGCAAAACAACTCTTCCAAATTGATTAGGAAGTACTTTTAACTGGTAGCCCTTTAAATAACGCGGAAAGAGGCACACCTTGTGGGCGAATGGTCTTAAGAATGTCAATTTACTAAGTGGTACAGTTACGCAACAACATTTCTCTTCAAAATATTCCAACAACGAATTCGGAATTACCTTGCCCAAAAACATGTTTTCGAAGCGAGTTATGTGTTCGATTCTTGCAATGTGCCCTACCAGTTCTGCGTTACTTTTTATCATTTGAGTATCGCTTACTGCCAAACCGTTCAATAGATTGAACAAAATGATTGCAATCATGAATATGAACAAGGCAAATATCAAATGACCAGTTACGGGGAATTTGTTGAAATTGATGTCGCTTGCATCAAACTCTCCCGTTAGCATCACGAATGTTTTAAACAAAGAGACTGCTGGATCAACAAAGAAATCTTGTTCTTTATCATCTTCATTCTCCACATCCAATGTTTTGTTCGATTGTTTTGATTCATTCCCGTCTTCGTTTTTAAATAAAACGTGAAAGCTCATGGCGAAAGCTATAATAAGAATAGCATACCACAAGAAGAATTTTAAGAAATTACAGGAGACTGTTTTCAACATTACAATGTTTGTTGCCATCTTTGGATGCTGTCCAATCATTAAGACAATATCGAATGCTGCCACAAGTATAACGAATGCGGACACTTGCTTTCTAACAAACTCTGAGGGTGACTTTTGGAATAGAATTAACGCCGTGAGAAATACCAGTATCAACTCCAACCAGTTTTCACACTCAAAAAAGTACGTATTTGGAGTCAAAAACATTTGAAATATTTCTCGAATACAAAGTATTGCAAATAGAATAGATAAGATGATTGTTAGCGTCACATTGGGCGAAGATTTTTCTGGCGATTCAATATTATAACTCATAAACACGTATAAGAACAAATAAAGACAAAAAAGTACATAAACAGCTAAATTAATATAAAAGAATTTACTAAGCCTAAGCCACTTCATATAAAGGAAACTGGTTATCACCGGATGCGTTAGTAAATGTCTAAGTTCCGCGGATTTGCTCATGAAGTTTACAACTTCCATTTCTAAAGTGAATTCTTCAACTTCTTCTTTAAAAAGAGTGTTTGCAGCTTCGAGGTCTTCTGGTACCGAAAACGAATTTACTTCTTTATTTTTATTTGAGGCCCGAAATTTGGTAGGAGGCATTAATGTCTTGTAATTGAAGACAGCTTCGAAATTTTCAGCCTCCACATTTTTATCTAAATTAACCTCCAGGCATTCGTCTAAATGTTTTTCCATGGTGGTAGAATCAATCTCTTCAACGGCCATTATACCATAATTATTTTTACATGCCAAAGATGCACCAGCTCGTAGGAGTTTCAGAGTTACTTCAGAGCCCCCGTAACAAACTGCATAACGCAATATGGATTCGTTATTTACAGAGTTGATATCTATTGGTTGTTCTAATAGTAGTTCGCAGCAGCGTTGATAATCTCGCTTAGGATCGACTGAGATTACGTCTGCCATTTTCAATGAAGTTCCTAGTGCCTTTGTAGGAACCATGGATGTTGTGTTAATAAGGATCTTGACTATTTCATAGTAACCTTCTTCAGCTGCCATTTCGATAGGCGTTTTAGGAGTTCTCTCAGTAACTTTATCAGGAATTGCTCCTAATTCTAACAGTTTTTCTACTGCATTTGTAAGTCCTTTCGAAGACGCTAATTGCAGTAAAGTCATACGGCCGTTATCCCCGTTTGCCGTTGTTTCTGAAAGGTGACCGGAGCGAACAAATTCGTCTTCTTTCAGGTCATTGAGGTAAGAAAAGAGGACATTGATTGGATCGATATTGTTGGCATGACGAGAGTCATCTACCATTGGAAGACTACCGTTGTATAACTGCTTCTCTTGAATAAAATCTCTGGCCGATTTTCCCCGGAATTTGTGTGTATCGATATCGACGGGGTGATAGCTAAAGTTTAGTATTGCACTCACAACTTTTCGATTTCCTTTACGTGCAGCATAATAGATCGCCGTTAAATTCTTGTCGTCGATTTTGTTCACGTCAAATTGTTCACACTGTACTAAGAGTTTAACGCATTCTTCCTGATCGTCATCGTCCTTTTCGCTAAATCTAACGAGACAATGTAACGCCGAGCAACCCCCATCGCACTGAGAATTAATTTGTTTCTCATTGATATTCCGGAGGATAACTTTAAGAATTTCCGGAATTCCACTTTCTGCAGCAAAATGCAAACATTGCTTATTATCAAAATGTTCGTTTAAACTGTACAAATTGCCCCCTAAATCTATCAATGTTTGAAGTGTTTCGGATGTTATCTGCGACGCAAGATTGCTGCAGGCTATTTGAACGATTGTCTTGTAAAAGGGATGGTCATAGATTTGTGACAAAAGTGCCTTTCCATGTTCATTAACCAGTCGCCTTATCTCAGTCGAACGGTTGGATTTTACGAGATCGAACAGACGTGATAATGGGGTTGGACATAAACTGTCTGTTCTGTGTAACTCGTATTCTCCTTGCGACATTTTTTCTGAAAATAAACATAAAACATTCAAATGACCACAGACTAATGAAATTCTGTAATTATTTAACGCAATACTAAAATTATTGCCATTTTGTACTCGAATGTCTGCAGCTGCGCAAGAAACTGCAGAATGTAGGTACTTACGGGAAGTTTTCAGGAATATTCCAAAATCGTATAAGTAAGTAACCACAGCATTTTGCAGTATATAGTCTATAGCAGGTAGCTGCTATAGACAATGCGTGAACGAGAAGTTCAAACAATGAGATAAATGTATAAATTACTTATACTTATATGTACATATATCGAGATTTGTATAGATAGATATTCTAGAAAAATTGGCACAATAAATATTTATGGCCTTCCTAAATACATAATGTCTGTTGATCATATTATTGTACTACCTACATTCTGCATACCTAGTAAACATAAAAGAATTAGGGAACTACACATACATATTTGTCGGTTTCGTGTTTTCTATTTAACATTCCTAATTGTTCTAACGAATTAGAGCGAACTGTTAAGTGAATGCGTAACCAAATGTACAGTAGGTATATGTGTAGGTACATGTAATATTTTCAGATAGGTAAACATTTACCTATTAAATTTGAAAAACACGGTAAATTAATAGTCTTTATGAGATTTGCCATATATAAATTTTATTTTTTTTTTCTTTTACAACCAATACGTAAATATACCTGACCCTCTGCTTTTGATAACAATGTGGAAGGTTTAAGACTAATTTATCCAACGAAAAGATAAAAAGTTGAAACTTTTGGAAAAAATAAACATATTGAATTATCATTCAAATAGCCTAAACTGAAGAAGGTAAGACCAATTGTAAGTCCTATTTACACAAAAAAGTACAGAGTACAGAGCTATTCTCTACTTATGCATTTTTGCTTAATAAATAAATACGAAAACTATTTAAAAAATTTTCTCTAAATGTTGTTTTGTTTAAAAAAAAACCAGAACAATTGTTTCGCCAATCTTCTGCTTTGTTAAATGGTGCTGAGTACCTACGTACTATGCAGCAGTAGGTGTTTGTGTTATTAAGTTATTTTGAGGACAATCAATCCTTAAAAACAATAGTAAACAAATGATTGAGGAAAGATAAGTTGTAGAAGTTCTGAATATTTGTTAAAATATGCTATCTGATGGTGAATTCTTTACATCTAATTGATAATTTAACATAATTATATAGTTAGGTATCTAGTTTCTATGTTTATTAAAATGTCTCAAAGTTTCTAAAGACATTTTTTATTTTCATCATGTAAAATTTCAATTTATCATTAATCTTGTTCTAATTGTAGAAGATGATTAGTATAAATGGAATCATTTTCAAATTTGAAAAAAATTGTCTCTACATTTTCCCTCCCTTATATCCAACACTCTGCTGCGTATTGAATATAAGTGTAATTAACAATTGAAGCACGTTAAAACTAGTAGGTACGAAGTTGTTTTATTAACAAATAATTGCAAAGGAATTTATTCAACAAACATGGAAATAAACGATTGTTAAAAAATGTGGCTGATAGGTTGACTCGGCAAATAAATATTAATAACGAATACAAGGTTGCAATCAGTTACAATACAAATTAGATTTCACCTGAAATAACAAAAGTGTTAAATTTTATAAGAATGAAGAATTTAAAACGTATAATTAACTGATTTGTCGTCGTGCTTGTTTTGTGGTACTGTCTTAAAAACACTACAAAATACTTTTCTTTTTAATTTTAAGTAAGATAATTTTACTTATTATTAATTACATTCAAATATATTTAATAAATTTTGACAAATCGTTGTCGAACAACTGAAACCGAAAGAACGGACCGATCTGAAATAATAAGCACGAGCGTCTTTCGACTTGAAATTTGAGTAAAGAGAAAACTATTTCCAGAAGAAGTAAAGCATTAATTTTTATTCGCTTTCTTTTTTTCTGCTAACTGCCCTTGGTAAATAAGAACAGAAGAAAGTCAAAGGCAATTTAAAACTTTTAAAGGGTGTTGCGTCTTATTCAAACGGTTTTGAGGGTTGAGCTTATTTAGAAAAGTTTTCAGAGAAAAACTGTATTCCACATGTTCATCAAAATGTTCATTCAGAAAAAGAAGAAATACCAACAATGAAATGTGAAATTTCTATGTTCTGCGAATGTTTCGCTTTAGTTGTATGATATATGTATATATTATTGTAAGCATACTCATAATCTCTTTATTTCTGCACTTTTTTTGGTATTTGATGCTTTTAATTACAATAAAAAAAAAATTATTTGATACTTGTTGAAATTACGTACTTATGAATGTTATCAAAAAATAACCAACTCAAGAAACATGGTTCAAACAAAAATGACGCTCATGGAATAAAATAATACTTATATCAAGTTTATTGTATAATTTCTGAAGAAACCTTTTGGCGAAACAATTATTGTCAAGTGTCTTTAAAATTTGCTTACGTTTAGTGTTTATTTTCTATAAATTAATACAAAACAACCTAACGCCTAAATATACCAAAAAAAAAAAATATAGCCCTCGGCGTTTTTAGTTTTAGTACGATTTAAAAAAAAAATTCCGTAAAATATAATTGTCAAACAACGCGGATGTCTCACTGTTACCTTACTACATACGTCACGTACCTATGCAAAACTACAAAGCTAATATAGTTAAATGCTAGTTGAAATTTGAATTATAATTTCCCCTAGAAGCTTTGGTTTTTTTTTAAGTACTTTTACTGGACTTTAGGATAGTGTCAATTGTTTTTTTTTTTCTGAATTAAACTGACGTAACTTTAGGATAAATGAGCCACCTAATCTCACTCGCGTTCATATTATGTTAAGATTTAAAGTATTTTTTAAGCTAAATTCGTTAGATAGAGAAATATAACTTTTTCTTATTGGGAAATAAATACTATGAGAATATATCCAGGATGAAATATGAAAGAAACAAGTATTCAAATGAAATGGCACTGAAAATTAAACATCAAATCCAACTGATCGCAAATTATATTTAAGGAAATTCATTGTAAATGAGTAATTTCAATCACTTTAAATTAGTTTTTCAATTTTTTCGTTTCAACAACATTGAATGTATCTGTGCATGGTTTCAAGAGTGGAATACAATAATATGATATTGGTACATGATATGACTTAAAGCATAACAAAGATTGTATTCCATCCAACTTGCAATGTAACACCCACAACAATGTGCTGAACCACTTGCTATATAACAAATTAAAACCATTAGGTCATCAGAAATAAGTATCTAACATGCCTACTACTCGCTCTAAAAACATAAACAGTCTGGTGAATTATACCAAAAAAATGGAACGAAAACAAACATTTGTTACATCAAATTTAATCATATTGTATATAAGATGCATAGACGATCTTGTTTCAAACGAATTACGTTAATTTTAAAGCAAAAGTAAGAAAATAATTTTTATTTGAAGTAAGAAACTTATTGAAATCCATTTTTGTACGCTTTCACTTGTTTTTGAATAATTTATCCTTTTGATATACTAAATACTAAGAAAGTAATAATAATAAATACACACAAGAAAGTATATATGGCAAATTATAAAGTCTAATTTTCACTATTTTCGGAAGTTAAACCTTAAAATCATTATTAAAATTATCAATTAATAAAAGTTTCATCCTTGAAGATATACTTATTGGTGACGCATAATAATATAAAAAAAACAATTAATAGTTTTCGAATAGTTCACGCATCTTTGGTTTAACTAGGAATTCACAATTTTTACACAAGCTTTTTTAAAGTTTTCCATCTTTTAGATACTTCGTAATGCAATTCCTTAAAGAATTGTTTTATGCAATTAATAAATCTTTAAATCAAGATGTATAATTGGCACTAATTTTATTAATCGAAACGAGAAATTATATTTACAAGGAGAGAGTAAGGTATTGGGAATTTAATTTTTTTCATATTTATGGTACTTAAAGGTCAACATTAAGCGACCTTCTAGTACCATAAATATGAAAAAAAATTAAATTCCTAATATTTCATCCACTCCTCGTTAGTACCTACTTGATTACAAAAAGAATAAATTATCATCTAGTTATGATTACTTACCTACGTTGTTGTTCGTAGATGTTAAATCCAAACTAAGCAAAAACACTAATTTTCACGGTTGCAATTTCGAAACCAAGTGATTTGTTCTGAGAGTCATCATTCTGGATAACAGTTAAGTTCATTTTCTATTCTTGGTAAAATAAATAAACTTTAGGTTTATTTCCCACGGAATGCTTTTAATTCTACGATAGGCACCTGCTTAGTATAGCAATTAATACTGTTCGTTAAAAAGAGTATAAAGTAAGTTTTATAGTTGCGCGATTTTACATTACAGTAACTGAGGCCAGACTCTCAATAAGCAAGAATTTAAACAACACACGCTTAGTGTCGGGCTCTGATGACGACCGCGTTTTGTCCAGCCATTTCCTTTTTAAGATAAACTGGCTATTCGAGGTTTGTAGTTTACGTGTTGCCGCTCACAAAATCTATATGGTACGGTCAAGGTGTGCTGCATTCGATCATAACAATCATTACGACTAACTGTTTCTGTATTTTTTAAAAGCACCAAGAAGTTTAAGACCGGAAATTGATAATACTAACCAACGGAAGTGAAAATAATAATAGAAAGAAAAATACCCATTGTTATGCACTTGTGTTGTATTATAAATAGGTACCTGCTTAACGATAGTAATCGTGAATATTTATTTATTAAGGTGATGCAACTTGAAATTTCATAAATCTCTATAAGTTATGAAACGTTAAAACTGTATCTAACAATGGTAAAATTTTCCATTAATAAAAGGTTTAGGAACATTCATTCGTTCACTTGGACCCTAATTGGTTTCCAATTTTTCGGAAAACTCATAACTATTGACCGATTCTTACTAAAGGCTTGTAGTAGTCATCAGAGTTGATACTTGTCCCTTCTGACTTGGTTCTTATGTTCTGTTTTTGAGAACGACATTCAAAACACCCAATAATGGACCTTATTCGATGGATCCAAGTGTTTTTTCTTCTAGTACTGGTTAACTAAAATTCCAGTCAAAACTTTACATTAAAGATTATGTTGTTAAAGAATTGAACTGTTTTAAACTCGTAATTAAAAAAAAAAAAAGATGTCCACCTATTTTTACATTAATTGCAACAATTTCCAAAAATTTGTTTCTTCAATTCAGGGGACCTCGCCATTTTCTCGTTACATTGACAAACCCCCTTACGATTATGTGTAATAGTATGAATGTATGCGAAAAGTTAAATACTTGTATTGTTAGACCATTATTAAGAGAGTATTGTCCCATTAAAATTCTAAACGTACAATTATGGTATTTATATATACATATATCTACAGTCAGCATAGAAGCGAGACTGAGGCAGAATTTTTCGATTTAATTACTAACTAAAAATTGCTTATTACATTATGTCTTTTTAACTTTTATATTTTTTAAATTATTTTGTAAGACATTTGTTTTTATCTGTTGTTTATTAATGGAGTAAATGTGTTCATTCATTCTAGTTTTTACGACTCTTCTCTTTTTCTAATGTAGATTGAAGCACATTCGCTACAAAAAGTTGGTTTCTTTACTTAATGTTGCGATTTTCGTCTTATCTAACTGTTTATGCTTATCACAACCTGCTGGCGACTTATAATTTAAACTAATGGATAAACCTGATTTTCTGATATTTATTCATCATGTATATACCTGTTCAAATATATAATTCTTATCATTATCAACGACCTGCCGTATATTAGTCACTCATGTGCTTTGTTTTAACTTTGAAGAGAAAACTCGGTAGAAAAAAGAATATAATTTTTAAGCACAGGCAGTATATCGCCACCTAGTGGGTATTTGCTGCTAATGAAGCATTTTATGCGTTAGACAAGACCTTTTATTAAGGTACCAACTTACTTAACTGAATCGAAAANCATGTATATACCTGTTCAAATATATAATTCTTATCATTATCAACGACCTGCCGTGTATTAGTCACTCATGTGCTTAGTTTTAACTTTGAAGAGAAAACCCGGTAGAAAAAAGAATATAATTTTTAAGCACAGGCAGTATATCGCCACCTAGTGGGTATTTGCTGCTAATGAAGCATTTTATGCGTTAGACAAGACCTTTTATTAAGGTACCAACTTACTTAACTGAATCGAAAACGGTGCATAAATATATATTTCGTTAATTCCTAATTGCTAATTGCTCAAAACTTATGCATCAAAATGAAAAATTATAAAGGAAAGAACACACCCTTTTTAAAAGGGATTATGAACATATGCATTTTTTGAAATTTCAATTTTAATTTGTGAAGCACATAATGTGTACAATTTTTATTATTATTAAAATTGTTCCGATTTTCAATTTTCTTAATAACCAATATTTAACAAAAATATAAATCATTTTCGCAACGGGGTAGGCACAAAGATGAAAAAGGGCCCTTTCTCGACCAATACGATTCAATTCAAATGATATTTCCAGTGCCGTACACAAAAATTACGTAGTGTTAGGAAGGAAAATATTCGTTCTGTTAAGCTGCTGTTAATTTTTTTTGCATCACTAAAAATATTCAATTTTGCTTACAAACAGTTAACACAAAACGATAACATTAGTGTCACAGTAAAAACGAAGACCTGTTTGTCGATTACCAAATGAAACTAATCTGTTTACCAGAGAAGTAACCATTCCTAAATACTAATTAATAAGAATCGCGGAATATTTTCAATACAATAACAGTAAAAGGTAATTAACAGATTATATATTATATAATAATTTTCCATATTAATTTCGTTTTTAGAGTTGAGGAAGACACATTTTTCTTACACACAACACTTACTATGTTACTAATATCATTTTGTGTTAACTGTTGTATAAGTTGTAATCAAAAATGAATATTGATAGTGACGGAAAAGAATTAACAGCACATTAATAAATTTGGTGACGAAAAATGACGTAGGTACTGGTGAGCAACTAATTGTGAAAAATTAGATTTTAAAGAAAGTATTAAAATTCTTCACAAACGCCATACTAGAAGTGTATTCTACATACACATATTAATATATACGTAAAATGTTAATTATTATTAAACTTGTTCCAATTTTCAATTTAATTTCAACTTTTATGATTATTGATTTTTCACGTTTTTCCCTTTTTTATAAAAGTGAGATACACATAGCATATAATAAAAATATATGGGTACTTACCAATGATAGCCGGTGAAAAGTATACCATCATCACGACGTCGTCATCTTGAAGACTGTTGGATGTAAATTCCTACTCATTCCTATCCTGAAGCAATCTTCGTATATCCCGAAAACTAGAACAATTCACCTTTCCTACCACATGCAAACCGTAATCACCACTTTTCTTAATATCACCTAGTTTCTAATATATTGTATCCACGATATCTGCCTTGTTTCGCACGTACGGAACCGTGCTTTAAACATATTCCTTTAAAAATTTGCTTCGAATTTCTAAATTAGTCCTTCGCGAGCACAGACATAACTTTTTGTTGTTTAAAGCGATTCGACCCTGCGCTACATCTTGTTTTTATGTATTTACTGCCTTTTTCATTCTGAGCTTCCTAATTTCTTTGTAGTTTTTCACCTCCAATTTAATATTAACACTGGCCCTACTTCCGCCTGTCTTATACACCAATAGTTATGATTTACTTATCCTTATTCTTCTGTCAATACCGTTACCATTTTATCTAAGGAGGAGTTAGACCTCCTTGTTTTTCGATGCTAATATTGCTACATTATCCGCAAATCTAAGCATGCTTACCTTCGCTCTTGTATATCTATCTAACGAAGTATTTACTTGCAAAACCTGTGAAAAATGAAAATTGACAAACATTTCATTGAAAACATTTTGAGATATTTATATAGTCTTATTAGGTCCATCTTTGGGGTTGGGTCACAATCTTTCCATTTAAATGAATTAATGAATAATTTGACTGACATCAATTAAAAAAAAAATATTAATAATACATGTTTAATTACATCGTTCGCAATTACATATTTAAATGTAGAGAATCAGCAGCTGCTACCAATGTGTGATCATTAACTAGTGCAGTTAAACCAAATTTCTTTAAATATTTCTTCAAATTCAATATCAAAAGTAATTACGTTGAGATGTTCAAATTAAATATTGGTCATTGCACTATAAATATAATAACCCCATTTGAGTGTACGTATTGGTGACTATCAAAGTATTATTTTGGTATCTTGTTACTGATTCTCAGACTTTTACAGTCATTAAAATCAGGTAAAATAAATATATTCATTTGTAATACAGGTATAATGTTAATGTTTATAAGGGACCGTTTTATTCCAACAAATTTATATCAAGCATTTCTAATTTTCTGAACAAAAATTTTTTATTTTATAACTACCCATATACTTATTCAATAATGCTTAATAAACTCAAATCTCATACGTAAATAAATAATTTACTAAATTTATAAGCTTATTTGTTACTTTTTTAATTAACTGTGTTACTCTTTATAAATGCGTTTTTCGAAAATATTAACTAGATTTTCATATTATAAAGCAATGGGATTATACATAAGTATTAAATTATCAAAGACGAAACTATTAAAAGTAATTAGTACGTTAAAAATGATGTAAACTAATTTATGAGTAATTTATACAAATCCTTTTTGGTAATTGCTTAGTTTATGGGACCACCGCTCTAAAGAGAGGGGATGATCTTGCACAACATTGAAAGAGTGTTTGTTAATAGAGTCGGAGACAGGGAGGCGCAATGGGTAGAGATAAATATTGGAAATGGTAATTATCTAGTTGAGGAAACAATAAGGCGGAGGATGGGATAGGTAAGGGTAACCTTACAGAACTCTTAAATATGGTTTATAGTTGGGTACGAAGGGAGGTAGGCGCAGGACGTAGAGGTTAAAAAAGACCCTTACCTAATCCAAACATATTGTTGTATTAAGCAAGGTTAAATTATGGTTGTTAGATTACGTTAATTTATTTTAAATTTTCGATTTTTCACCACCACAAGGTCATCCCCATCCCCTAACCCGAGCAACAGTTCAATCAATAAATAATTACCGCTTTTTTCCATTTAGTAAGTGTATCCAATAATTTGTCCTAAAGAACAAGTAAATAATTTTAAGTAAGTAGGTATGTATGCATCTGACCTTTTCGACTTTTGACCGGCTTTGAAAATCTTATTATCTAAGTACGAATATAAAAAAGTGTTTCTTTAATTCTATCACTTACCAGTCTTTATCAGCAGATTAATGAGGAAATTCGCCAACTGACTTAACATTATAGCAATAATTTTTTTATTATAACTTATTTAAATTCATAGTTACTAATAAATTACCGACTCTAAAAAGATTGCAATTTAATTCAAGGAATATAACGGACCCTCTCAGTACAACACTGCACACCAATCCTTTCTTAAATCTGTCCTAAAATTATATATTTGTATGTACAAAAACCTAGCACAATATATATTACACGTGGCACATCAACCTTGCAAAAAAGAAGCCAATCATACAAAACAATCACATACAATAACAATAAATAATAATCGCAATATTTGAGTTAAAATTCAGTAAAAATAATTAACAAACCGAGACTTTCTTTCGGGTGTTGACATCCAGTAGTTTCCCTTTGCTGGGCGAGTATCACGCGAGACCAGAATCGATGTGGGTACGTCTTTTTGAGTCGGACCTCTGAAGCGCATGGTCAGGAGTAGATTTAAGTATATCAGGTTGACTTTGGTTCGTGATTACCGATTGGTTAACAGACATAACAGTGCCCCGACTGAGTGTCCCTAGAAGGGGTGTACCCGGATTTTGCATCAAGAGATTCATATAATCGGCTATTAAAAGTGTCAGTTCAAGAATCTTGGGTTTGCTAAGGGAGAAAATGAGCTTCTGAGACGGTTGCTGCTCGCTCTGAGTAACGACGAGCATGAAATCTTCCTGGCAACCACCAAATGTAAGCACATTAGTATAAGAGTAACGCATTCTTTGTTGCATCGTCGCTAAATCAAGAACAGTAATTGAGTCTTCATTGACAGCTAACCACACCATCGAGGACTCGTGTTGACGTAATCTTGCCTACAAAGGACAAGTAAATAATTTACATATTATGTATATTCAACGTATTCTAACAAGATAAAAAAAATTTTTAATACTTGTTAAATTTTACCTGAAAAAGTGTGGCTCCAAAGAAAGGCCATTTCCTGGTGCAAGTTAAATAGATGCGAACACAATCTAATTGAGTTCTTCCCTTTAAAGCTCTCCATTTATCTAACAGTTTTGATTGCAGATCTGCAAGTCCTTCTTGACTCAGTTGATCCCGATACCGATAGGGATAAAACTTGTCTATGGCACTTAAGGCTTGATTGGAGTGAGCAGTGAGTATATTATGAACGCTATTCAGGGCATTAAGTGTTTGCGAGGATTGGATACTCTTAGGTGGGCTGAGGGTACCATGAAGACTAGATTTTGTAGTACAATTAGGACTCTGATGGGCATTGTTATTGGCACCTTGCGTGGAAGAATTAAGTGTGTTTGCTATGCTAGTACTTTTATTTGAGCTAAAGGAACAATCGCCAATATCCAACTGAGCCATAACAGCTGCCAATTCAAGGGCAAGTTCTTTACTCAAGGGGAATCGACCAGAAACAATCTGTTTGTTTACTTGATAACACAACAAAAGACGTTCCTTATCAGTCTCTAACCTGTAAACAAGTCTACAATTTAGTTTTATAGGAATAGTTACCTTAAGTATAAAACATATACTTAATACAAAAATTTTACCTTGCACTGCTCTTCCACCACAACCGACTTTTATAAGTTAGCCTAATAACTCTAGTATTTTCAAATTTTCCAAGTCCTTTTTCCCTTAGCGCAACTTCCCATTTTGTAATGACATCGCACAATTTGGCTGATGGGTCAAGTGTATGTTCCAAATCTTTCTCGATTGGATCATCACTGAATAGGGCAAATCCATTACTAATTCTACAACCGATCTCAGTCGCCAGACTATCCTGAAATTCTTTGACGGTACTCGAACCATCAAAGCTCGATATGTGATATGTGCCATTTAAAAGATGAACAGGCATTGAATGAGGCAAAGAATGGTGTTGAGGATTCTTGAGCAGGATACTGAGCACTTCCATCCTTGATGGTTTACATTCTCGACCACCTTTAAAAGCAATACATTATTTGGTACAAAAATGAAACAAAAATTAATTTCCCTTAATAACCACCAATAAAGGAAGTAACTAACTAAATATAATCATATCAGTTAAAATATCTTTGACTTAATTGACTGATAACAAATGTATTATGCGTTACCTGTTAAGATGGTTCTATCGAGAGCTCGTTCACAGTACGAAGCGTACTTTCCGCATTCAGTTCGATTGTCAGCATTCCTCTGCAAATGTAGTTTAAGAAACCACAACAATCGGGAAGACTTGGGCACAAAAAGGCTGACAGCTAAAGCCAGCAGCTGCCAGCCTTGTAAAAAAGTGTAGCTTGGCGGGCCTTTGTGATCCTTATGTTCCTTATAACACTCCTTATGCTCCTTGTACTTGTCTTCCTGAGAACCCTGTGTATTGGAAGACGAAATTTGCTGCTCTGAAGCACTGCTCACGCCGGTTGGCGTGGCTTCGCAAGTGAACAAACTTTGCGTAGCACACAGCAGCAATTGCTAAAAAGAATTTTGGTGTTTCCATTTCAGTGTCTCTTTTTGTAAATACTTCGATTTTTTACATGTGAATGGGTTTGATGTTGTGAAATGATAAATAAATGCAGTTTTTATGGTAGGTATTGTGTTTAGAATCAGATCAATATGAAAGTACACGTATGAAGAATTGTTTTTAATGAGCACTGAAAATTTTTGAAATGATGAAGTGTGAAATCTGAAATGCTCAGTTTTATAGCAAGTAGAAACAAGACAGCCAACTAACGTTTCTATTTTCTATTCTATAATTGTCTAACCAAAAGCATTCAGAAATGAAAATAAAAGAACAAATAAGTAAATTGAAACACCAACATTCTCTTATTTGAAATGCACAGTTCCATTTAATGGAAATAATAATAAAGTTGAGCCATCTTCAATTTCTTTAAGGTCTCAAATAAAAGAATTAATATATCTAGTCCTTTTACTAAAAATTTGATGGGTCAACTTTAAGAAAACTTTTAAACATGCAATAACATATAGAGTAACGTGCATTATGCTATTTCATTTGACTTTTTTGCAACAAAGTGTAATATAACGAAATATAAGCAACATACAGTGCATTGTTACTTTCTTATAATCTCAGTCATCACGTGGCTTGAAACTATTAAAAAATAAGTTTAAGTTAATTTTCGTGTATACAGGGTGCAATTGTTAAATCTTAAAAAAATGGTTTCCCTAATAGCTAACAGTATAAAATTGGAAGGAACTTGTATTCTATTAAGTTTTAATTTAATTTGTATTTTCAAAAAAATAAAATTTTTAATCCAATTATTCTCTAATAATTTAATTTACACCCTGTATATTATTCTCTTGTAATCTATTTATGTGCACTTTAACTAATAAAATTTAACTGATAGTGAGTTGTTAATTTATTTTTTCTAATAAGAAAATTACTACAACAGAGAATTCAAATTGTGAGAAAATCTGATTTTCTACAAGGCTTTTAATTTCTACAAAAAATTATCAATTTTTCTATGTAAATTTCGTTCATCAAAATTTTTTCACAAATAAGAATAAGCACTGTACAATTTTTTTTTCTTTATAAAAGACCCTAATAAATAATTTAACTTTATACAATAGTGAATTGCATAAAATGAAAAATAAAAAGCACACTTACACTTTTCTTAAGCAACTTTTGGGTAGATACCTGTACTCCCAATTTAGGCAAAGGGACAACCTTACTAGTTTGTTTAATCAAGGCGCATATGAGTTCGGGTTGGAGTTCAGGCATGTCAAGACACTGTTGCAGTGCATTTTGCGCAAGGATCACATGGTAATCAATACCTGCTTGATCAACTTGAGCCGACATAAACAGTTGCAGGCACTTAAACAGTTTTATCGCTTCTGCCTATAAAGAAATACAAGTGGTTATAATAACATTAGTGACCTTTTAATGGTCAAACACCATTTTCAAAGCTATTTACAAAAAGTACCAGTCGTCAATGATTGAGAATAGTTGCCAGTTAGGCAGCCGCGTTTCATGACGAAACACTCATACCTAGTCATGACCTTCGCAACAGCTGGTATACAGGCAGATCAATTGCGCGTGTAAGAAATAGTAGTAGCATCAGCGTCGTAGTTACTACTCGATTGGCAAAGTTAATTCAATCACACAAGCCACTACTGTTTACATATTTGAATAGATTATAATTACCTGCATTGTTTCTGATGGCAGAGTAGTAAGAGGAAAATACGAAGGAATTGCACCATCTTTTGTACATGAAACATGAACCAATACAGGATGTCGCCAAAGGACACAGTTAGGATCACCATCAACTTCCATAAGTTTATGAATAAGTTGCTCATACTGCGTACCAGTATTTGGACCGCCACCACTAGCCACGGTTAAGTGATATAACCAAGCATCTCTCTCCTAAGACAGAATTACAATTATATACATTTTAGTTTACCTATTTAACATAAGTATATATAGTATTAGGACTTTAAAATTTACTTGCCTGTTTTCCAGGGCAAAGTAAGTAAGTAGGTCCTTGATTATTCGGAAATATTCCAAGAGTTAATTCTGTTGCCTCACATTCTTTTTCTTCTGAATCAGAATCGGACATGTGATCAACCTCTTCCACTCTTGCGTCTCTCATGTTTATTTGACCAGCTGGAGACTGAAATCACAAAAGGAATAAAAAACTGTTAGTGAAACAAAATTACAATATATATTTACCGTATCTGTTGGTGTCTTAAAATAGAGGAACATTTTCCCTATAAGAACACACCAGCATTTTTTGGCATGTCCGTTTTTGACTTTCGTCAACCACCCTTGTACCAATGGTTTATTTTCTTCTTTACTCAAAAGTAATCTCGTGGCGTTTCTTCTTTGCACGTTTTGTAATGTCCTCACCTACACAATTCGTAATTAGACAAATTATACAATCAACAAATTAATATAAATAAATGGTTACCCAATCTTCCATTGCTGTTATTGAATCGGCAGTTAAATAATACGTTTTCTTGCCAGTATCTATTTCAAACGTATTAGATCCTTCGGCCCGATTAATTTTACAAATTTCGTCTAACAAAATTTGACCCTGAGGTTTCCTATTAATATCTGCTTGACTTTTATAATAAGTTAGCACGCCATTTTTAAGAACGAACCAACGTTTTCTCCATGTCTTTAATTTACCACCTGAAAAACCAACGTATAATTTGAAAAACTTTGACGGGAAAAAAATAAGTCGAACCTAATTTAGCAAGAGATCCGCTTTTTTCAATGCAGTCTGATTTCTTAGGACTATCTACAAATGAGGTACGAAGCGCTGAAGATTCCATGCTGGTACTATCACAGCTAAAGGCATCTGGGGGAACTGCGTAATCATCCGACATTCCAGACTCGAATGACGTGTCTGAAATGGCTGCAAGTCATGATTAGATCAAAAAATCTATTGCAGAAGCTAAACAATTATGTTGAAACAAAAAGTAATTAAAAGTAAATGGCGCAAGCTACTGAGCGATTAAAATATTAACTGCTGACAATAACCTCGTGTTTTACTTTTGCTGGGTGAACCGCTACTGCTAGAAGCAGTCCTTTTACCAGGACTCGAGCCCGATGTGTCTCCAGAGCTCCTACTATGAGTATTCATTGCTTCTGTGGCCTAAAATTGTACAGATAAAATGTTTAATTGGAAACAAGACCTATTTCTGTTTCACTTACTGCAGTATTATTTCCTTCACCATCACTAGAGTCGTCAGATGAATCACCTGTAAAAGGCATCGATCTGATTTGACTAGCCCTTCCCTTAACCGTTGCATAAACAGGTACAGGGATGTCTTGGTAGCCTGCCTGTTCTGGACCCATATCACTTGGTGTTGTTCCTGTCAACGTAAGTCCATCTGCAGCCACCTAAAATTTTGTTTATTTGTAATTCCTTTATTACTAAAGGTACAGTAACAAATATTAATACTACGAAGCAATATATTGAAAGCTATAAGAATGTAAAGACGTTCAGAAAAAAACTTTGTGATATAAGTTTCTATGGCCTAAAAACATTCTTGTCTTACTTGATAGATCCTATCTTCCCAACTAGGAAATCGATGGAGAGGAGGTGTAGGAGCCCTAGGCCATGGCACTTTCTCTCGACTAGGAGTATAAATTTCAGCATAGTCATGAGCTAAGTCGGGGTCAGAAGCGCTACCAGTGGTCATTTTGCCTAAGCTTAGGTTGTCTACAGCTGCCCTTAAATCATCCGATAAAGCATCCATATTTGTATTATTTGGAATGAAAGCAGTATTGCCAATTAAATTAGTATTAATGAAACTGGTAACAGGAAGGGCCGGTTCAAAAGAATTAGAGGAAATGCAAACGCTCTGATGACGCCGATGTCTGGAGGAACGAGAAGTAGCAGAAGACAAGCGACTTGGTTCTGGAGAAATGCTTTCAGATCTTCTCCTATCGGAAAGCGCGATATGATTCCTGAGTAGTTCCAATTGCTGATTACACTTGATATTTTGTTCTTTGAGATGTTGATTCTGTTGCTCGAGTTCTCTAAGCTTATTAGTAACCCATTCCTTGATACGGGCTGCTTTTGCTTCCACCTGACGAGCGTCTTGAAGTCGAAGCTGGCGCTGCTCTTCGATTTCGCCTTCTAAACGAGTGATCTGAGTGTTGGAATCATTGGACTGCGACCATGCAAGCTTCTGTTCCATTATTCGCACCTGAAAAACAACTTTAATACTATTTGTTGTATTTCTTTCCGCTAATTTTTCTTTTCTCTCAGTTATGTAAATCTTGAAAGTTTCTACAATTAATTTTACCTTTTAGTTGAAGTGGGTCTTTAAGAAAATTATTTTCTGAATTAAATAAACTAAAGGAAGCTTACTTCGTAATTTCCTGTTAATTGTAGTAATAGAGATGTAGAGTAGATTGAACACAAAATTTAAGACAAATTAAACGTATATGCGTTCTTATCTCAATAACAAATAGCACCGCTAATTAGTTTTGGTGGTGCCGCTTTATTCTGCACTACTAATAGTTAGCAGCAGGATATTGCCAAATACGAGCCCTTACAAGGCTAAACCCACCCGAATATATGGTCCTTCGAGCCGGATGCAGCACAAAATCCGGAAACTAATGTGGAGACATTGAAGTCAGTACTTAAGAAGTTTGTGGTTGAAGTTAGTTAATTTAGTGAATAAAGGCAAGTGTTTATGTGAAGAAAATCAATTTAAAAAAGTAAAGTGAATTTACCCGAAAAGTGCCGACATCAAATCTACTAAATATTGGATAACACAACTTCAACTATCGAATCAACATCGAACTTGTCATGAATCATCGGACCTGCCACGAATTATTTATCAAACATTGGGACATCACCAAAAGCAGCAAAGTAAACTATCTCAATTCAGTTTAATTCCTGTTGTTAAGTTATACCGTTTTCTGTTTATTTAAAAATCAACAATTTATTTAAAATGTCAAATACCGAGCAGTTAGATCATGTAATTCAAAGAGAGATCATGCAAAGAGAGATCACATAATCCAGAGACAGCTAAGATAGTTTTATACAAATAAGTTTGATGTACATAGTCCATAGTGTAAATTAAAGTGTACAGTAGATGTAAGTATAATACAAAATTCAAAACAAATTATCTCAATAACAAATAGCACCGCTAATTAGTTTTGGTGGTGCCGCTTTATTCTGCACTACTAATAGTTAGCAGTAGGATATCGCCAGATATAAGCACTTATACAAGGTTAAACCCACTCGAACAAGAGACAACAACAATTTGTTGATAAATATAATATAATATTATAAAAATAAATAAAGAGAAAACACAGAGAAGAAATTTAAATAATAAAATAAATAATTACAGTAGGGAGAAAAGAGTGTTTAAAATTGACGCGTTATGTACAATGCATTTTAATATAATAACAAAGTGAAATTAAATAATTACTTTTCTAGCTGAAATTAAAAAAAAAACAACAAAAATTTCGAAAAGTTTATTTGTTGTCATATAAAATCAAAAACGGATGAACTAAAAATCTGTTTGGAATCACAATAAAATTTTAATAAATTACCTTTCGCTGCCATCTTTGGTTGATTTTCTATTTTGAATTCCACAGTATAAGGAATACTTAAGAAGACCGCAACCTTTATAAAACTGAACTTAAGTAATCCACCCCTTGAATTGATTACACTTTCGTGTCCGTGAACTAACTAACAGCCCAAAAGGTACTTGTATATGACCGTATGAACGCGGGTGCGCCAAAACAGCGACTACCGCAACTATAAATCGGCGCCTGGGTGTCCCGACATTGGTATAGCGTCGTCGTTTCTCACCACCGACGATGACATCGTCAGGAAACTTCCCCGACAACGACCGCCAAGCAATGCATCGTCAGACAGGGTTAAGTCGCGTGTCCCGTTGTAACGCACGCCCCTGGCACACGGCCAATTCTATTCGGAAGTTAGGGAAAAGCAAAATTGCACAATAGAAAAACGAACGAAGATGTGGAAAACTAAAAGCATTAGGAGACAATATAATTATAAAATTTCAATCTTTTTAAACTACCTGATTTTCCATCCATAATATATAATGAATATTTATTTTTATTTTACTTTCGTTTATGTACCCACTAAAAGTAAAAATTGGCGTATCTTCCAATTGAAATAAAAATTCAGTGATTTAACTGAAGAAACTGTAATAAAAATATTTCACTATGAAATCAGCATTCTTAACTGATTCATCAGTTACTGCTGTAATTACTGATTCACTTAATATTTTTAGTTCACTAATTGGCTCAGTTAATATTCAATAATTTGCAGTGCTGTTATTACAACTGTGAAGAAGAACGAGTGAAATTCCACTGATTCATTTTTAAAGAATATTTACAAAAAATTTGTTTCTGATGTTAAATGTGCCGACGTAAATTAATAAAATATAACTTCTGTAATGCTCGCACTTTATAAAATGTATAAATAATTTAATACCAGTAATTCGAAAGTTACTTTTAAAAGCTTGTGCAGTTTTGCCCCAGTATAAGCCTGGAAGCACAAAGAAAACATGCTTCTCGGTTTGTATGGAAAATCGGTACTTAAATCTGAGAGCGATGAATGTGACAACTATAAAAATAGACATAATATAAAGGTAGGTATGCATGCATACGGGTGATGACACTCAACCTAGACGAAACGCGAGATGAATGAATCAGTTAATGAGTTTTCTCAGCGGTCTTAAAAAAAAAACACTCCTACCGAAAGGAGTAATTTAATAAGAAAAACATCCGTTCCACTGGAAGTGTAATTTGAAATTATTTCTTTAAAGTTTAAAGTGCATATTTGAACGTAGGGTAATAAATACCCTTTCGAATAAAACATTATCATTAAGGGCTACGAAATTGCAAAACTTCAGCAAATATGACAAGTGTAAATATATTTACTTTAGTTAATCGTATGTAATGAGCCCTTAGTATACATTTCTTGATAATAGAGAAAGTACGTACTAAAACTCCTCTAAAAGTTTCCAGAGTTTTTAGTAGATAAGTATTTTAAAATTAGTTCTCATTGACCATTTGTTCACGATCAATATCTAATGGTTTTCATGGATCAAAGACAAATAATGATGATTGATTTATTTTAAAAAAAAAGTAGAATAATGTGGTAAATAAAATAATAAAACGAGACCCACCCTTAATTCTATCTAATTTGTCAGTTCTTTTATTCATTAATAAATTTTGTCGTGGTAATTGGGGATTAGTCTTCAACTATTAATTTTTTTATGAAGATAAATTTTAGAAAAAACACCGAATAAATTTAATATTCTGATTTAAATTTGTATATTTGAATTCGCTATTAAAATTTTTATACCAATCCACACACAAATCCTACAGAAATGTATTCTATGAGCATGTGGTACACATGTTTTATTTTCTCGTTTGGAAAAGTACTACTTGTAAATAAAACACTACATTGCTGTAAGATCATTACAAGTATTGTTGTACATGTCGACTTACGATTCTTTTGATCAATTTTTCCTATTTCTGAAATTGTACTAATTCATGTACAGTAAAATTTGCTTATCACAATAAACTACAGTTAAACTAAACGGAAACTACGTGAAAGATACGCAACCAAATTAATGAAGAAATATTAACTTCTTGGTCAGTAACTTATCTGAATCTGTAGACAAATTTGTCGAAGTACTAATTGCTATTAATGACATTTTTGATTAGGTAAATCTTCAACTCATCAGAAATATTTGTAGATAATCAGTACAATCCTAATTTGGCGGAAACTTCAATATCTCAACCTTACTACACCTTCTTATAAACGAAAATTCATAATCGTGAATATTTTGTTTTGTAAAAAATGTATAGTGAAGCCAAACTACAACAGCTGCTGCTATTGTTTCACATTCAAAACATTCATAGTACTTAAAATAGGGTGAGAAATATATGAGGGGTGCGTATCGTCACTGCTTAATAAATGGGTCAATATTAAGTGAGTCATCATAATGTATGCAGTTTTCACGACAAAGCAAATAAATCCAGTAGCGTTCTACCTACATCTTCATAAACGATGAGAAATACGTATTAGAAAGTGAAGAACCTATTCAGATTTTCTGCAAGAAAGCGAATTGAAAATTGAACATTTTATTGCATGTAATCATCAAAAGAGCGACATCACTTTTTGAAAAATAGAGTATAGAGTGGTTTAGAAAAATTCGTACTAATATCAGCAATCATTTCATATGAATAATAAAGTAATTTAAGTCGAATAAATACACTTCAAAGCTTTTGATTTCGGTTCGGTTAGTCTAGGACAGCTTTTTTGAAAGCAGATGGTATTTTCGCTCATGCCAAATAAAAAGAAAAACCACCAACAAAGAAATGGGCAATTTCTATGTTCTGATATATATCTGTATATTAAACAAACATAGCACTGACTTTTATCAATGCTAACCAAAAAAAGCTTTCTCACTTTTTACTATATTGAATAGGTATAGCTAATTCAAAACCCCATGAGCCTTCGCAAACATTAGTGGCGGACTGTATTACATTCATGCTGTATATTAAGAAAATATTGACTCTGATGTTAACCAAGTGCACCATTGTACAACCAGGAACGCCTCCAAATAAACTATAAACAGTGACGGTCAAGGTAGAAATGTAAACATCAATGAACGGGCGCCATTTTGTCACTGCGCAACCCAAGGTTAAAGCTCATGAGATTCCGAACTACCCCTACCGAACATTTCGGTACTTAATATTAACAAATTAAAAATAATAATTAATTTTTTAACCCATATGTACCATTTCTATAGAAAATATATGTTACACGATATCATTATTAGTAACAGAAGGATATTGATATGATAATTATGTGATTACTGCGGTAAAAATTAAATCTTAGTAGGTACTTAAAACGCAATTTATCTACGAAAAATTAATTTTGACAATTTCTTGAGTAGACTAGGTAAAACTATAATAATCTGATAATCTAACTAATGTGTTTCATATATGAGTGAAATAACGCTTAATTCACTGGCATACGATCTCACTCACCCTTCCCCATCGATGGTGAGAGGTTGGATATTTACAATGGATAGTCAAAAAAATGATGAACGACGAAAATTTATAAATATAATACATATACAGTGATAGAAACATCTATAGTATAAAAATGACTTAAAAACAAATCTACATTTTGTAATACTAGTTTTCCCGACAAATGTAAAAACCGAATTTTAAATTTTGTAGCTATATAAGAGTATCTAGATTAGGAAGGGGGTTCGGATTGGTGCCCCCCCCCCCCGTAAAAAATGAGATGCAGCGGGCCTTACCGTCATGGAAGTGAGTTAAGTAATACAAATAATAAAAACATAAATATTGTTAGTGTTTATTATAGAGGTTTACGTTTTTTTAATAAAGCGTTGGTGAGTATTTAATCAATACAACAAAACAAATTGTGACATCACTTATTGAATTGTAATGTATACAGAAAAACAACAGGTGATTGGTTTATCCTAATACCAAATCGATAAAGATGGTGTTTTACATCAACCAAAAACACGCTCACATGAAAAACACTTAACTTTAGGTTGCGGATTATTGGATAAATCTACGGAAATACGAATTATCATACGAACTAATACGTAAAATCATATGGGTGCGTAATAAAATCTATCTAATTACATATTTGCTATGAAACCCGTAAATTATTATTTAGAAACAATTAAAACATTTAATAATAAATGCCAAGCTGTGTTTGTTTCTCATTCTCATGTGCTTTAAAATGAATAATCGATAAGATAAAGAGGTTCAACATTAAAAAAGAAGATTGTAAAATGCATTTTTCTATTAAAAATAATCCAAGTAAAAAGCACGACGCCAGACATAGCGTCGCGACGAAACAATAAACGCAAAAACGACCGCTACCGCCACTACCACACTATACATCACTGGACGCACTTAGAGATAAAAATACATTTACATGTAATGGTAAACTTACATTTTCTTGATGATCCAACGGAACAACAAACGAACAAGATAGATGACAATGGTTGACGATGTACCGAACACAAATAAAACAACAAAAATTGAATAACAACAACAATAATAATGGTAACCGAGGGATTGAAATAAAAACCGATGATTAGACTCAATGTATCGGTCTCCCTTCTGTCAGCTGCAAGGCGCCATGTTCCGACGCGTCGATTTCGGCGTCGCGACGAAAAATAATCAATAATGTGCGAAGACAGAGAGAAAGAGAGACAGAGGGTTGCCGGGCAACCACCCGTAGGAACAAAACATCATCTATTAAACAACCCGCGATGTTGCCGCTACTTACTTTTACTTTTTTTTTTTCGTGTTTATCTCTTATCAAAAACTTTTGTACTTACTACAATATATTTAACAAAAAGATAAATAGCGTTAATATGCCTACACAATGTAAATTTTATAAACAAACGGAAAGCAATTATTATTATTTTTTTAATAAATCAGGGTATTCCTAGAATGCAAATCCAAATTGGCGTAAGGCGTTAAATTATATTACAATAACCGTACATTTCATAGTAAAAATACCAGTAGCGATTTTCCAGTGACAGCAATTGAGCGACTGCACCCCTTTAAATTTTTAAACAAAACAAACCAGATGGCAGCTGTGTAACCCAAAAGTAAACTTAAAATTATGTATTACTACGTATTCATGGCTCATTCCATCTTCCAAAGTGCACTCGTCTGTCCACGAAGATGGCATGAGCACAGATAGATCATTGATCCTATCAGTCGTCACCATTACAGTAAAATGGGGGAAAGCTATATTCCGCGCGTCTTCAGTGCAACATAATACCTAACATTTGAGCAAGTGGTTTAGTTTGCTCACGACTTTCAGCGATCTAATGGCAAATCATGTATTTTCGCAAAACGAAAAC